TTCACGACCTCCTGTATACCAGGCGAGGTAGTTAATATCTCGCCAGTGGCTAATCATCGAGAAATACCGAAAGGGTGAACTTTGAAAACTGAAATACAGACAAGAGCCCTTCTAGGAAAACAAAGATTATGCATCTGCATGGGATATCTGGGGCAAAGCTACAGGTGGTCAAGATTAAATACGTGAAATCATTGATCAACGTACTTGTTTTTCATGACTGAGGATTAATAAATTGAGGTTTTTTTGGGCGATAAAAGTGTCACGTTTCACGCGACCTAAGCCTAAGGAAACCGATAGTGAATTATGAAAAATAATATTCTTTGGTTCTTTCGGTAAAGTCACGTAGGTATAAAATAAATTAACTCACGACGTTTCGGGCGCAACACAAGCGTCCGTTATCAGGTGGGACAACCACAGCAAGAAACTTTTGCTGAAGTGGCCAAAAGGGCTGCTGTAACAAGAGGCAATATAGAGGAGCATCTCACCAATTTCCCACTTCAGCAATATTGCTGTGGTTGTCCCACCTGATGACGGACGCTTGTGTTGCGCCCGAAACGTCGCGAGTTAATTTATTTTATTTTATACCCACGTCACTTTACCGAAAGAACCAAAGAATATGCATCCCTGCAGTCACGAAAACTTCATTATGGAAAATAATGTTCAAGCAATTTCCAGTGGGTTCCTTTTGGGTTCATTGATCTGTCGTGAACCGTCCTCGACCCGACCCAGACATTGAACAAACGTGTCACACGAATCAATGTCAACCGGTTGTTGGCCACAGCGTTCATATACAAAGACAAAGATCCCCCGTATAGCCTTAACAGACTGTTGGGGCAAGTGCTGTTAGCGAGCACCTATGAAGGCCGGCACGGCACACAAAGGGGGTGGGTGGCCCGCACCACGCCCGGCCAGTGGCGATGTCTACACAACGCATCAGGTACTAATTTGAGGCTGAGTCGACCTAGGGGAGGCCCAGGACCAGTTCAGATAATCGTCACCGGTGTTGGTGGCCGTGAGCGGGAATCGAACCCGGGTTACCAGGTTCGTAGCGCAGCGCGCTAACCGCTACAACACCGCTCCCCAGACAACTGCACACACACACGCACACGTAGAAAAAAAAACATCATGACATCATTTGTTCACTTCATTTGGCTAATTCCAGCTTGGCTGACTTAGGGTTGTCGGTTTCATGGAAATGTAAAATAGATTCGTACCTGGGGGTGGGGGGGGCGACACGAGGGGTGCCACGAGAGTGTGGGTAAGGTGACGTCGTCGATGTGGCTACTGGGGTAGTTCTACAACCACAGCTTCTGGGGGGCCACGCAGGCTGACACAATGTGGTGCACCGCTCGCTTGCAGGCATGCTGATGTATGTACGGTGTGTTGAACTTCTTTCGCACCGTACACTGCCAACAGTGTTTTTCTGCGGTGCGGGAGGAGTCCACCCTCCTCCCTCCTCCCATCACCACCCTCCCCCCACCTCCCATCACCACCCTTCCCCATCCTCCCTCCTCCCATCACCACCCTCCCCCATCCTCCCATCACCACCCTCCCCCATCCTCCCTCCTCCCATCACCACTCTCCCCCATCCTCCCATCACCACCCTCCACCCTCCTCCCATCACCACCCTCCCCCATCCTCCCATCACCACCCTCCTCCATCCTCCCTCCTCCCATCACCACCCTCCTCCCATCCTCCCATCACCACCCTCCCCCATCCTCCCTCCTCCCATCACCACTCTCCCCCATCCTCCCATCACCACCCTCCACCCTCCTCCCATCACCACCCTCCCCCATCCTCCCATCACCACCCTCCTCCATCCTCCCTCCTCCCATCACCACTCTCCCCCATCCTCCCATCACCACCCTCCCCCATCCTCCCTCCTCCCATCACCACTCTCCCCCATCCTCCCATCACCACCCTCCACCCTCCTCCCATCACCACCCTCCCCCATCCTCCCATCACCACCCTCCTCCATCCTCCCTCCTCCCATCACCACCCTCCTCCCATCCTCCCATCACCACCCTCCCCCATCCTCCCATCCTCCCATCAGCCTCACCCCCATCCTCCCATCACCACCCTCCACCCTCCTCCCATCACCACCCTCCCCCATCCTCCCATCACCACCCTCCTCCATCCTCCCTCCTCCCATCACCACTCTCCCCCATCCTCCCATCACCACCCTCCCCCATCCTCCCTCCTCCCATCACCACTCTCCCCCATCCTCCCATCACCACCCTCCACCCTCCTCCCATCACCACCCTCCCCCATCCTCCCATCACCACCCTCCTCCATCCTCCCTCCTCCCATCACCACCCTCCTCCCATCACCACCCTCCCCCATCCTCCCATCACCACCCTCCCCCATCCTCCCATCACCACCCTCCTCTATCCTCCCTCCTCCCATCACCACCCTCCCCCATCCTCCCATCACCACCCTCCCCCATCCTCCCATCACCACCCTCCTCCATCCTCCCTCCTCCCATCACCACCCTCCTCCCATCACCACCCTCCCCCATCCTCCCATCACCACCCTCCACCCTCCTCCCATCACCACCCTCCCCCATCCTCCCATCACCACCCTCCCCCATCCCCCCTCCTCCCATCACCACCCTCCCCCATCCTCCCTCCTCCCATCACCACTCTCCCCCATCCTCCCATCACCACCCTCCCCCATCCTCCATCCTCCCATCACCACCCTCCCCCATCCTCCCTCCTCCCATCACCACTCTCCCCCATCCTCCCATCACCACCCTCCACCCTCCTCCCATTACCACCCTCCCCATCCTCCCATCACCACCCTCCTCCATCCTCCCTCCTCCCATCACCACTCTCCCCCATCATCCCATCACCACCCTCCTCCCATCACCACCCTCCCCCATCATCCCATCACCACCCTCCTCCATCCTCCCTCCTCCCATCACCACTCTCCCCCATCCTCCCATCACCACCCTCCTCCATCCTTCCATCACCACCCTCCTCCCATCACCACCCTCCCCCATCATCCCATCACCACCCTCCTCCATCCTCCCATCACCACCCTCCTCCCATCATCACCCTCCTCCATCCTCCCATCACCACCCTCCACCCTCCTCCCATCACCATCCTCCTCCATCCTCCCATCACCACCCTCCCCCATCCTCCCATCACCACTCTCCCCCATCCTCCCATCACCACCCTCCCCCATCCTCCCATCACCACTCTCCTCCATCCTCCCATCACCACCCTCCTCCCATCACCACCCTTCTCCATCCTCCCATCACCACCCTCCACCCTCCTCCCATCACCATCCTCCTCCATCCTCCCATCACCACCCTCCCCCATCCTCCCATCACCACCCTCCCCCATCCTCCCATCACCACCCTCCCCCATCCTCCATCACCACTCTCCTCCATCCTCCCATCACCACCCTCCTCCATCCTCCCATCACCACCCTCCCCCATCATCCCTCCTCCCATCACCACCCTCCTCCATCCTCCCATCACCACCCTCCTCCCATCATCACCCTCCTCCATCCTCCCATCACCACCCTCCACCCTCCTCCCATCACCATCCTCCTCCATCCTCCCATCACCACCCTCCCCCATCCTCCCATCACCACTCTCCCCCATCCTCCCATCACCACCCTCCTCCCATCACCACCCTCCCCCATCCTCCCATCACCACCCTCCTCCCTCCTCCATCCTCCCATCACCACCCTCCCCCATCCTCCCTCCTCCCATCACCACTCTCCCCCATCCTCCCATCACACCCTCCCCCATCCTCCCTCCTCCCATCACCACCCTCCCCCATCCTCCCATCACCACCCCCCCCCCCCTGCACCATCCTCAACCCTCCACCCCGTCTCCCCAGCCCACCATCACGCACGCGCGTGCGTGGCGCGCGCCTGGCGCATGCGCGCCGCGCGAGGAGCGTGGGGGCGGAGGAGTCTGTGGCTGGGGTCGGGCTTGGCTGCGTCTTTTACGACTGCTGCGACTGCTGCAGATTGTGTATTCACCAGGGCCTGCTGCCCCCCCCTCCTCCTCATCCCCCTTCTCCTCTCGACCCCCAACCTCTCGACCCCCCCCTCTCGATCTCCCCCTCCCCTTCTTTCGATCCCCCCCCCCCTCTCGATCCTCTCCCTCCTCCTCACCCCCCTCCTCCTCTCAACCCCCCCCTCCTCCTCCCCTCCCTCCTCTCAATCTCCCTCTTCCCCCTCTCGATCCCCCCCCTCCTCTCGACCCCCCCCCCTCCTCTCGATCCCCCCTCTCGACCCCTCCCCTCCTCCTCCTCCCCTCCCCCTCTCGATCCCCCTCCTCCTCCCCCCCTCCTCTCAATCCCCCTCCTCTCGACCCCCCCTCCTCTCAACCCCCCCCCTCCTGCTGCTCCCTTCTATCGCTGCCCCCCGCCCCCTGCGCGCCTGTCTCTCTGTGCGCGTGTCGGTGGGGAGCGGTGGCGCAGTGGTTAACGCTCGCGACCACCACCGTCACCACCAGTGACGATAATCTGAACCGGTCCCGTTCCACCCCCCTAGGTTGACTCAGCCTCGAATGAGTACCTGCCGCGGTGTGGATTAAACGTCGCCGATTAGGGAGACAAAGGCGGCCGGGCGCGGTGCTGGCCCCCCACCCTATTGCGTGCCCTGCCGGCCCTCTAATGCGTGCGTGTATGTTGGCCTTCTTTCGCACCGTACATGGCCTAAGGCGCTAATCGGAGGTGCCTTCATAGGCGCTCGCTAACAGCACTTGCCCCAGCAGTCAGTTAAGGCTACACGGGGTGGTGGTGGTGGTGGTGGAGTGGGGGATCTTTATCGGAGTAAGGTGGGCGGATTGAGTGGGGGCTATAGGGTCGACGGGGGGGGGCTGGGGGTATCTTAATTTGATTTATTGATTTGCTTAACGTGTTCACCGCCAGCCCCCACCCCCTCTAACCCCACCCACGTCCCACACCCTCCCCCCACCCTCCTCCACCACCACCACCACCACCCAATCCACGGCCCCCCTCCCCTGCGAGATAAGAAAACCCAGGGCGTGGTGGCGGCAGAGAAATTAGTGAGCCAGAGAGAGAGAGAGGAGGAAGAGAAGCAGGGAGGACTGGACCGACTGACCGACTGACTGGGCTGGATCATCCGAAGATAGAATATTTAGCATTACACGAACAATAAGACACGCGCTTGCTTTGCCGTTGTAGAACAGACGAAGGAAAACGCGCCACGAACGTGCAGTCGCGATGCTGTGTTGCATGAAACGAAACAAGCAGGTACGGTGCTGATGATGCTTTTGCTGCTGTTGCTGCTGTTGCTTCTGCTGCTGTTGCTGCTGTTGCTGCTGATGCTGCTGCTGTTGCTGATGCTTTTGCTGCTGTTGCTGCTGCTGATGATGCTGCTGATGCTGCAGCTGTTGCTGCTGATGCTGCTGTTGCTGCTGCTTCTTCTGCTGCTACAGCTTCTGCTACAGCTGCTGCTACTGCTACACTCATCATCACAGCGCGTCCTTCTCCATGGCTGTATTCCCGCACGCCGAGCATACAGCGCTATCATCATCATCTATCCATACGTACAATAATTAACAAGCGTTTATTTGACGGATGTATGATGATGATGATGGTGGTGGTGTTGATGTTGGTCGCCGGTGGTGATGCTGGGAATGATGATGAAAGGTGCAACGCAATTATATCTTGACGGTATGAATAATGCATCATTATTAATATTCCGCCGGGATTTATATTTTGACCGGAGTGGGGGGCAAGAGAAAGGGAATATGTTCGGTGATGTCGTTGGGATGAATTTTTTTATTATCATTTATACAAATATTAAAGATGCGTTCAGTGTTTCAATGTGAATCATGTACGAACGATTGCCATTTGATGAGAAGAGCAACAAGAGAAAAAAAAATGACGAGACAGGCGATGGACGCTCCAATTACATTGCACGGTCACGCGCCGTGGAGCCGGGCATTGTGTGCCATCAGCGGCGGCGTCGTCCCCCTGGGTTCCACTGAACGGTGACCGCCCAAGATGAATCTGTCGGGTTCGACTTGGGCCACGGGTGTATAATGCAGGCAGACAGACAGCTTTTCCTGCTGTTGCTGCTGTTCCTGCTGCTGCTGCTGTTTGCTGCTGATGATAGAGATGCTGATGCTGGTGATATTGCTACTGATGATGATCGTGATGATGCTGCGAATGATGACAATGATGCTGCTGCTGATGATGATAATGATGATGCTAATGATGCTGCTGCTGATGATGATTATGCTTCTGATGCTGAAGTTGTTGCTGCTGATGATAGAGATGCTGGTGATAATGCTGCTGATGATCATCATCATGATGCTGCGAACGATGACAAGGGTGCTGCTGATGATGATGATTATTATCAGGATACTGCTACTGATGATGATGCTGCTGCTGATGGTAATGCTTCTGATGCTGCTGCTGTTGCTGTGGAAGCTTGGAGGAGTGACGCGCGTGTGTGTGCGAGTTGAATTTCAAATCATCTGTCGGAATTTAGATTTTGTTTTCCCCTCCCTCTCTCTTATCGTACGGCGAGCCTGGGTTGGTCAAATTACGGGTTGGGGGGAAAGGGTCGTAGGTGTGTCTGTGCGTGAGTGTCTGTACGTGTCTGTACGTGTCTGTGTTTGTATGTCGGGGATAACGATATTGCAGAAGCAGGCGACCCGAGTTTGATTCCTACTCACGGCCACCAACACCAGATATGATTATCTGAACCGGTCCCGGGCCTCCCCTAGGTCGACTGAGACTCAAATGAGTAGTGTACGTGATGCACTGTGTAAAAAAAAAAACCCCATCAGCACAAAGGCAGTCGGGCGTGGTGCTGGCCACCCACCCCCTCGTGTGCCGTGCCGGCCTTCGTAGGTGCTCGCTAACAGCACTTGCCCCAACAGTCTGTTCAGGCTATACGGGGGATCTTTGTCTTTGCCTTTGTCTAATTGGGTGTGTCTGGGTGTATGTTTGTGGGTAACACTATGATATGTCTCAGTAGATGTGTGTGTGTGTGTCCGTGGGAGTGTGTGCACATCTCTGTGAGTGTGCGCGCGCGGGGAGCGGTATACCAGTGATTGGCGCACTGCGCCGTGAACACGTCCCGCATCGGTTCGATTCCTGCCGACGGTCACCGGCACCCGCGGGTGATATCTAAACCGGTCCCCTAGGTCGACTCGGTCTTAAACGCACACCCCTTGCAGGCGATGCGAGACCAAAGGCGGCCACACCAGCCACGCCACAGTGTGCCGTAAGGGCGGGAGATGGGAGAACGATTCGTGCGGTGGTGTTGGGCACCACGGTAGATTTCCACGCGAGGGGGAGGGGCGCGGGGGGAAGAGGGCGCGGGGGGAGGGGGTTCAGGGCGTGGCGCCTCGCGGGGCAGACGAGGATCAACGCTCGGGCTGCCTCGGTGCTAGGTCTGGGTCTCGTCTGAATTGGGTCCGTGTCTGGGTTAGGTCTGGGTACGGGTTAGGTATGTGTCTGGGTTAGGTATGGGATAGGTTTGCGTCTGGGTTAGGTGTGGGATAGGTTTGTGTCTGGGTTAGGTCTGTGTCTGGGTTAGGTCTGTGTCTGGGTTAGGTCTGTGTCTGGGTTAGGTCTGTGTCTGGGTTAGGTCTGTGTCTGGGTTAGGTATGGGATAGGTCTGTGTCTGGGTTAGGTCTGTGTCTGGGTAAGGTATAGGATAGGTTTGTGTCTGGGTTAGGTCTGTGTCTGGGTTAGGTATGGGATAGGTTTGTGTCTGGGTTAGGTCTGGGATAGGTTTGTGTCTGGGTTGGGTATGGGATAGGTTTGTGTCTGGGATAGGTATGGGTTAGGTCTGTGTCTGAGTTAGGTCTGTGTCTGGGATAGGTCTGCGTCTGGGTCTGGGCTCCGTCTGGGTTCGAGTCTGGGTCTGGCTGTGTCTGGGTCGAGGCTAGGACTGGGTTAAGGTCTGGGTTTTGTCAGGGTCTGGTTTAGATTAGGATCTAGGTTATGTCTGTGTCTCGGTTAGGTAGGGGACTTGGCTATGCCAGAGTCTGTGTTAGGTCTCGGTATGGATTATGTCTGGGTATGGGTGATGTCTGGATCTGGGTGATGGCTGGGTCTGGGTCTTGGGTATGGATTCGTCAGGGTGTGTCTGCTTCGAGCTCGAAGCCGAGCTGTCTCGGGACGGGGGTCAATCAGAATGCAACGATCCGCGGGCTCCCCGGTGCCTTGATGAATTGGCACGACTCGCGCGAGAGTCGAATTTCCATTTGAGAATCAACATTTTTATATATTTTTTGGGGGGGAGGAGGGGTCCGGATTTCACCGTGACGTGTGAGATGAGTGTTGTCTTTTTTGTCATTCCTACAGTTTTATTTCTGTCATCCTTGGAAATGTAACAGCATCATCATTACAATTGCACAACCATCATCATCAACCATGGTCAATCTACCGCTGTATGGAAGCCTCCCATAAGGAAAACATAAAAAAACACATAAAATACGCATTTTGTTTTCAATGGAATATTCTATTCTCACGCACTTAACTCGATTATGCGCATACCATGAGCATAATAATCGATTTTAATCGATCTATCGATGAACGGGCACGTCGTAATGTCCTTACCCTCAGTCACAGCCCACGGCGCCCAATCCACACTCATCAGATCCCATTCACAGTTGGCATTCTCTTTAGGGTTCAATATTCGTTCGTCGTGTTTAATGTAAAACAGATTCTAACCATCCGCTACCCGACAGAGCCAATCAGGTTGTCACGCGATGGGCAAATACGCCGATTGATTCCGTTATCAGCACACCTGGGGTGAGGGAGGGAGGGAGAGAGAAGGAGGGGGGAGGGGGAGGAGGAGGTAGGGGGAGAAGGGAGAAGGAGGGAGGAGGAGGTAGGGGGAGGGGGGAGAAGGGAGGAGGAGGGGGGAGAAGGAGGGGGGAGGGGGAGGAGGAGGTAGGGGGAGGGGGGAGAAGGGAGGAGGAGGGGGGAGTCAATTTTTAAATCCTTTATATCAAGTTCACGTGCTTGCTTGCTTGCGCGCTTACGACCGTGCAAATCTTTCGGTCGTTTTTTAACCCACTTCCCGTGATCCAATCGAGCTGACATTTTGCACACAGACTCGTTGTGCGTGACAATTTATTTTCGTTAATTTTTTTTCTCCAAAATTTTACACTTTTTAGGAAAAAATAAATTATATTTAATTTCCAATTGTTTAATGGTGGCAGGCAATCGTCTGACCAATAGGTGGCAGCCATCTCAAGCCAGAGGACAAGAGGACTCTAGCCGCCACGCATATAAAGGATTTATAGTGAAAAACTTTGTTTTTACGGGTTAATTTTGTACAAATTTTGCTTCGCTTTTGAACAACTTGATTCGATTGGCTCAGTCGGCTGGTGGCGGGGTTATAGTAATATATAAAAAAACACATCATTACACCTCTACGTTTATTGGAACCCACAAAAAAACGAATTGCCAATCACATTGGCCGTGAAAGCCTAACGCATGCAACTCAGCAGATCTGATCGTATTTGTGCCCCCACGGCGATCGATCGATGATACCGAATAGGTGAGTCTGAACAGGTGAGCCTGAAAAGGTGAGCCTGCACAGGTGAACGAAGCTCGGGCTCTCGTCGTTAGTGTGAGGTCGTCTCTTCCCCGCCCCTCCCTCCCAGCCCCCCGTTATATATCAGCTGTTCTGGCGCACCTGTTTAATATCACCTGTTCAATACAACATGTTCAATATCATCTGTTCTGGCTCACCTGTCCAGGCTCACCTGTTCAGCATCATCTCTTCTGGCTCACCTGTTAAGGGACATTGAACTCTGGCTCCACGCCTCTGATTTCTCGATCGAACAACTGCATCTGATTTTGAGAAATATGCGCCCGATGGATATTGTGTAATTCATCGTCGTATTTATCATCACAGCATTATTATCATCAATGTCATCACCATCTTCTTCTTCATTATAATCGTTTAACAGGGCCAGCTAGCGGCAAAGACGTGCCACTATAAATCCCAGCGTGGTGACATCCCTGGAAAACTGGACATTAGGACCCCTCCCCCACCACCGCTATGAGCGCTGTCCATGGTACCTACAATACACAGAGCACGCAGCCGGCATGGCGTGTATTCAGCACGTGTTTGCGTACGAGATTGTTATCACCCGAGCGCTGGTGGTGGCTATGTTGCACGTAGCCTGTACTCCTGCGTTGTGAGAGCAGCAATCAGTGTTGGTGGATATCTCACGCACACACACACACACAACAACAACAACATGCGTTTAGATTATTTTGCTACAATCAATTTCCACGTGTCACGCTTTCATTTTGTGGCCAGTTTCCTTCTGAAACAGAAGCTAATAGCTCAGTGGGACTTACCTGGTGAGAACAAAAAAAAGTCGTTTAGTTGTATTTGTACATTTTGTTAAAGTCACTTGTTTACATTTCCTACAATTTGCACTCCGATCGTGTTTGTTGCTGTAACGTTCTGACCCCGTGCCCCTGCTGTACATCTGTGAATAATATAACCCGTAAAAACAAAGTTTTTCACTATAAATCCTTTATATGCGTGGCGGCTAGAGTCCTCTCGTCCTCTGGCTTGAGATGGCTGCCACCTATGGGTCAGATGATTGCATGGCAGCATTAAGCAATTAGTAATTAAATATAATATTTTTGAAAAAAAAATTCACGAACATTAAGTGTCACGCACAACGAGACTGTGTGGAAAATGTCAGCTCGATTGGATCACGGGAAGTGGGTTAAAAAACGACCGACAGATTTGCACGGTCCTAAGCAAGCAAGCAAGTGAACTTAATATAAAGGATTTAAAAAAGAGCTTCATAGCTCATCGGATTCCTCCTGCAGTATAAATATTGCGATTTAAATGCCTTCCCGTGATGCGTTGAGGAGATGGCGTACCATTGGCTCGCCAGGAGATGGTGGTACAGCAAAACAAATGTGGAGTATCTTCTTGGTTCTTTCGGTGAAGTCACGTAGAATGGAAATAATAAAATAATAAAAAGTAAAACATGTTTTATTTTTAAGAAAAAAATAAAAATAAAACATGTTAATAAAATACTAAAAATAAAACACGTTTTATTTTTATTATTTTATTATTTCCATTCTACGTGACTTTACCGAAAGAACCAAGTAGATGAATCCCTGCAGTCACGAAAGCTTTAAATCGAAATGTGGAGTACTAAACCAGTTCCCGTCCGTATGGGATCGCGTGTTTCCACCTCGCACGCGCGGGCTTTTCTTCTTCTCAATTTCCTCCCACGTGTGAGCACATCTCTTGGCCAACAACTCCTTGATATGTATAGGACCGCAGAACTTGGACAAATGTGGCAAGTGCCGGCCACGGTGGCGAGATGTTGACTCCCTCTCTCCGGGTTCTCCGCTGTTTTTTCCCGTCCACATTTAGAAACGTGCGTTTTCGAGTAATTTGGCAGCTATACATTTCCACGTGATGACGATAATCCACTTCGTTGAGCCATCATCTCCGGCCAGGTCGCGTCTGAAAAAGAGCTTGCAGACCTCAGTGGTCCTTAACCCGGTAAAATACAACGCATGTCGCATTTTTATTGTTATTCATATTCTTAGGTTTTTTCGGTAAAGTCACGTAGGTAAAAAATGTAAATTAATAAAAGTAAAATATTGCCGGTGCTGCCGACTCCGTCGCTGTGCGTCGCAGGCGGAGCCGGAAGATGGCAGCTCCAAGCCGGAGGAGCAGACGGTGGCCAACGACGTCGCGGCGGTCAGCCCCAACAAGGAAGTGAACTGCTCGGAGAAATCCGCGGTGGAGCGGCAGGGCGGCGACGAGGAGGAGGAGGGCGACGAGGGGAAGACGACAACGACGACAGAAGACGAAGAGAAGAAGAAGGATGAGGAGGAGGAGCAGGCGGCGTCCGTCGAGAATGGGGTGGGCGACGGCGAGGATGAAGGCCGCGCCGAACCGGGAGAGGCGCCGACGGGCGACGCGGGGACACCGGGCGGGAAAGGCGACGGCGACGACGGAAAAACCGACGGAGACGGAGAAACGGCGTCCGAGGCGGCGGAGAAACCAAGCGGCGGTGGTACCGGCGGTGGCAGCGGTGGGCAGGAGGCGGTGACGGAAAAGAGGGGGGCGGGTTCCGGGGCGGAGGCGAATGAGCCACGTGATGAGCCGGCCAATGGGGAGGCGGCGGTGGCCGAGGAGGCGTCGCCCTCAGGCGGGAAGGAAGCGAGCACCGAGGGGGAAGAAGGCGGCGCGGCGACCAATCAGGAGGAGGCGGCGGCGGCGGAAAATGGGAAGGAGGCGAAGGTGGCGGTGATGGAGGAGGAGGAGTCTTCCGCCAAAGTGAAGCAGGCCAATGACCACGCGGGGATCGCCGCGGAGGATTCTGGGAAAGGTAGGGCTGCAGGTGGAGGGTTTGGTGGATTGCCCGCAGATTGTAGAGGGCTTTGATGCGATTCGGGATGAATTTTCACGATTTCAGTCAATAATAGCCGATACATTTGATTCGGTGTTGCCAAAAGGTTCCACGATGGGGAGATGTTAACTACCTCGCTTGGTATGCAGGAGGTTGTGGGTTCAATCCCGACCCCGATGCTTGCTGTATATTTGGAGTTTGTGTGTCTCTCTCCCCATTGTCGCGTGGATTTTTCTCCGGGTCCTCCAATTTTTCCCTCAATGCATCGAATCAACATCACGTGTTTAGAGTAGTTGGCTGCTATGCATGTCTACGTGATGATAAGCCACTTCGTTGAGCTATCACCTGTGGCCAGGTCGTTTCTAAAAAAGCGCTCCATAGCTCAGTGGGCCTTACAATAAAAAAAGTAATTGTTTAGTTTGGTTTGAAGCACATTATTACATCAATCTCATCTCAAGCAACCGTAGCCATAGCCCCTGCTTGCAGTATGGCCTAGGGGGACCCCCAGTGGAAAGCGTCCCTGTGTGGCACGAGCCTGACACGTGGTCACGTAGCCCCTCAAAAGTAATCTGCGATGTGCACCCCCCCCCTTGCTTCCTACCCCAACCTCCCCTACCAACCCATCCCCCATCACCCCACCCCATCATCCCGCCCCCATCACCCCCATCACCCCGCCCCCATCACCCCCATCACCCCACCCCCATCACCCCCATCACCCGCCCCCATCACCCCTCCTCCCCTATTGCCCCCCTCCCCCATCGCCCCCCTTCCCCCATCGCCCCCTCCCCCATCGCCCCCCTCCCCCATCACGCCCCTCCCCCATCTCCCCCTCCCCCATCCCCCTCCCCACATGTTCACAACAGGTGAAGTGAAGTCCGCACAAGGAGCTGCGTCAGCCAACGGGGAGTCACGTGTCGTCGAGGCGGTGTGAAGAGACCGGTGCCCGGTGCGGGGTTGGAGGGGAGGGATGTGGGGGGTGGTGGGGCCAGAGAGGGGGGGGGAGATGGTGGGGGGGGGGGGGCTAGGGGGAGGGTTGAGCGATGGACAGGCAGGCAGGGAGGGAAGTTGGAGAGTGTGGGGGGGCTGGGGATAACTCAAGCAAAACACCGATTGAGTTCACCATTTTACAAACGTGAATTATTCGTCAGTCCAACAAAGGGTGGCTTTTGACGCGGTTAAAATGCCGGATCATTTGGAGGTTGTGTTTATTTGTTGTTGTTGGTGTTTTTCTCTGTTCTCTTCGGTCCATTTCATCGGTCGTATGAGGTCGGGGGACGTACCGGGTACTCATTTGAGTCTGAGTCGACCTGGGGGAGGCCCCAACCAGCGGTTCAGATAATCGTTGCTGGCGTTGGTGGCCGTGAGCGGGAATCGAACTCGGGTCTCTGCCGGGTGCTAACCGCTGCACCGCCACTCACGACTAAATGGGCACACTCACATTTACATCATCAGTCAAGGAAGCTGCTGAACATGAAAAAAAATAAAATTAAAATTAAAGAGTTCCACCAAAGAACAACGAAATTAATTAACTAAAATAACTCTGGCTTATGCTGCGAAACAGAAGTAAACCCACACCAGTTCCTGTGAGTCCTCTCTCTCACACAAAACAAAACAAAGATCCCCGGTATAGCCTTAACAGACTGTAGGGACAAGTGCTGTTAGCGAGCACCTATAAAGACCAGCACGGCCAACACCACGCCCGTCCAGCTTTGTATCCCCGGTGGCGATCTTTACACATCGCACCAGGTACTCATTTTGAGGCTGAGCCGACCTAGGGGAGGCCCAGGACCGGGACCGATGCAGATAATCGTCATTTGGTGTTAACCGGTGAGTTGGAATCGAACCCGCGTCAGCCAGGTTCGTAGCGCAGCGCGCTAACCACTACACTACCGCTCCTTACACACACACACCTACAAAAAAACAAAGATCCCCCATATAGCCTCAATAGACTGTCGGGGCAAGTGCTGTTAGCGAGCACCTACACACACACCTACACACACACTGACAGTCACCAATTATCACGTTAGCCGTCGTCTCTGCACATTTAAAAAAAATGATAATTAAAGAGTTCGTGTGACACTACAATCCAGCGAACGCGGCCTACCTTCTGGAAGTGAACAAAGCCAACTTGGACGCGAGTTGACCCGAGTTGACCCGAGTGGAGCCGAGTGGAACCGAGTCGACCCGAGTCAAACCGAGTTGACCCGACTCGAGCCGAGTCCACCGTCCCATGCTAACGATGTCACGCAGTGCTCGTACGCGATTCCGCACACGTGCACGGGCGGGAGGAGTAGATTTCAAATATAAATATCGACGGGGACATTCCGCCTGCTGCTTTGTTCGTGTTATTTAGAACTTTCACAGCAGAGGTGGGGAACGTCCGGCCCGCGGGGTCGTATAAGGCCCGCGAAATCATTTGGTGTGGCCCTGCCAAGGCGAACGCAGGCGGGACTCGAAATTCAATAAATCTGGGAGCAAACCTGGAAAAGCAGTTGCGAGTAGCAGCAACATCATCAAAACCAGATAACGTCACACGCCTCGCCAAAGAGAAGCAGTTCCAGCCCATCGCATTAGGGGCGAGTTAATTAAATGTTTGACCAAATATAACGGGCTAATTTTTTAAGTTGATAATTTCGTACGGCCCGCGAATGATGTTATAAATATCCAAATGGCCCTTGGCAGAAAAAAATGTTCCCCACCCCGACTTTACAACAAGGACGCTCATGGTTTTGTACTTTGAGTTGTGAGTGACTCATAGCATTTCGCGGCGAATTACATATCAGCCCCCCGCCACCCACCAATCGTAAAAAGAGATGGTCTCGGCTTATGAACAAAGCCCTGGCAAGCTCATCAGCATTGACCCAAGCTTAGCCCGACCCTGCCGATGAGACGCCGCGTGGCGAAACCTGCAAACGAAGAGGCTTGTGATGTTGATGATGACGATGTTGATGATGTTCTCATCATGGATACAAGCGATAGCGGCAGGGAATTCCGGGCCGAGCCCCGGGAGAGCACGCGAGGTCACCGCCGGAGCAATTTGACCGCTCTCGTAAAAAAACCCGCGACTCGAAGTGAAAAAATAAAAAACACCGAAACAAGACGACGGACTGGACGAATCTGGACGAATCTGGCTTCACGCGAGACGTCGCGCTCGCACCAATCGACGTTGTACATCGATCCGCGCGTCCACGTTGTACGTCAAAGGGGTTCGTGTCACCCACCCCAAGCAATGACCGCCACCCCCCCCCACAACCCCCCTACACTGCAGCCACGAGTGGCCGCTACGGTAGGACGGCGTTTGTTTGAAATGGAATTGTCGCGGCGGCGGCAAGGAGGAGGAGTTGGCCGGAGGTGTGATCGCTTTTTTGTTTGTTTTACGTCATAGGAACGGGGATGGATGGGGGGGAGTATTGATGGTATTGATGACGACGCTGAGTGGATTATGATTTTAAGTTGCTTAAGAATTCCTAATTCTCGAGGGATTCTATCGAGACTTTATTCGGCGAAGTACTCAGTAGCACTGCTACAGTTTTGAGTAGTTTTATTTTTGGGAGGGATGGGAGAATGCATTTATTGGTGCATGCTCGGGCCGCAGTCGTGATTTGAGTGTTGGTCCAAGTGGGGGGTGGGGGGGGGTGGATGGGGGCGTGGATTGGTGGGGGGGTGGATGGGTGGGGGGTGGATGGGTGGGTGGATGAGTGGATGGGTGCGGGGGTGGATGGGTGGATGGGTGGGGGGGTGGATAGGTGGGTGGGTGGGTGGATGGGTGGATGGGTGGGTGGATGGGTGGGGGGGGGGTGGGTGGATGGGTGGGGGGGGGTGGGTGGATGGGTGGGTGGGTGATCTGCATGTCCAGAGAGGTTGGAATTCACTGTCTAGAGAGGTTTAAACATTCTAATTATTATGTTGGTCCGTACGGATCAGATGGGGGTGGGAGTGGGGGGGGGGGCAGACATCACGCATCTGTTTGTAGCTGCGGACAAAAAAGGAAGCGAAGTGGCTCACGGTGAGATAACGAAGTTGGTGGTAATGAGATAACGACACTGGTGGTAATGAGATAACGAAGTTGATTCTAATGGGTTAACGTGGCTAATGACAATGAGATAACGAGATGGTATTTGGATAACGAGCTGACAAAATATGAACTCAAACATTCCTGATCGCGTGACAGTTTGTAGCAAGTGCACGTTTTTAAACTGAGCAACCACCCACACACGCGAACACAAAGGCAAAGATCCCCCGTGGAGCCTTCAACAGACTCGGGGCAAGTTCTGTGAGCGAGTAGCACCTATGAAGGCCGGCACGGCTCACCAGCGGGTAGGTGACCAGAATCCGACTTTAATCTCCCTCGTGGTGATATTTTTACACGCCGAACCATTTGAGGTTGAGTCGGCCTAGGGGAGTCCCAGGACTGGTTCAGATAATCGTCACTGGGTGTTGGCCGTGAGCAGGAATCGAACTCGGGCCGCTAGGTTGGTAGCGCAGTGCTCTAACCGCTACACCACCGCTCCCCCCCCCACACACTGACACACACACACTGCTAACAACACTGCATTACCAATAACAAGATTAAGACGAACAAATAGAACAACAGCAACCGTCGTTCGCCACTAAGTGGCGGTGACGTCGCCAAGGCGCGTGTGCCAGGCTAGGTGCACTTTGCTGGCAGGAGGAGGTCACAGGACAGACCCAGGTGCCATGGGTTGACTGCCGTGCCAGGCTAAGTGCAGGAGGAGGAGGTCACGGGACAGACCCAGGTGCCATGGGTTCACTGCCGTGCCAGGCTAAGTGCAGGAGGAGGTCACTGGACAGACCCAGGTGCCATGGGTTGACTGCCATGCCAGGCTGGGTGCAGGGGCATGTCACGGGACAGACCTAGGTGCCATGGGTTCACTGCCGTGCCAGGCTAAGTGCAGGAGGAGGAGGGAACGGGACAGACCCAGGTGCCATAGGTTGACTGCCATGCCATGCTGGGTGCAGGAGGAGGTCACGGGACAGACCTAGGTGCCATGGGTTAACTGCCGTGCCAGGCTAAGTGCAGGAGGAGGAGGGGACGGGAAAGACCCAGGTGCCATGGGTTAACTGCCGTGCCAGGCTAAGTGCAGGAGGAGGAGGTCACGGGACAGACCCAGGTGCCATGGGTTGACTGACTGATGTGGCTGGCAGATGCACCAACTGAGCTCCCTACTGTGCCAACTACAACGAAACATATCTCTGTGTTCAGTCCAAGTGCTTCGTGTGTTATCAAGGACAGTATTGTCAACTCGCAGTATTTACCACAGTATATAATTCTGTTTTTACATCAACAACAACAGTAGACACCACACACGGAGCTCAACTTCTTATCGCTGAATATTTACCCCCCGGGGTCGCTTTGGTAGAACTTGCAGAAAGTTGCAAGTGACTAGCAGCTCCAGTAGCCACGGCTCAAGCGAGATGTAATACTGTATGTGGTATGCCGGGTGGAGACTTTTTATTTTATTTATTTCCAGATTGTTGACTCAAAATGTTTTCGGCAGCGGTGTGTTAAATGCAGACGTTTGAGATTCGATTTTCGTGTCCGTGCTGTCCGTTCATAACGTATTGCGTCCGTTCAGTCCATTTCTGGATTTCTGGAACACGTAGTGAAGATATCAGATCTGATTTTGTTGCTTACATAATCACTATCATCATCACAGTAATCACCATCATAACCATGATCACTAATCATGGTCAGCATCACCAGCATCATCATAATTATCATCATCAGTAGCATGATCTTCATACTCAATACCAGCATCATCAGCATGGCCATCATCGTCACCAACATCATCAAGATCAATATATTCTTCAATATCATCATAATCAACACCATCATTATCAGCATCAAAACCATCATCACCAGCATCACAATTATCATCACCATCATCCTTGACATGATCATAGATCATCATCAGATGTACTTAGTCTGCTGCAGTTGCGGGAAGACAGCCAAGCTCATTCC